TGATTCCCACTATAGTGGGAAATTACCAATACGGATTCAGGTAGAAATATAAGGGTATTTAATAGGGAAAAGCCTTACTTACAAAGCAACCTAGCCAGCCGGCGTGGCAGCAGCCTGTACAGCAAGAAGCAAAGTGAAACCGAAAGAGCAAACGCAGTCACACTACGTCACTCTGACCACGCCCTCACAAGCATGATCAGGCACACCTGTAGCCAGCCCCTAAGTAGGCATGGCTACAGCTTCCCCTACATCCCACCATGTGGGAAAAGAAGCTGTAGTTTGGATGATAAATGTTTCCATAGGCTCAACTATTTAAGTACTTGGATTCCATTTGTGAGTGTTCTTTGTGAAATTCTTATGAGGTGAAGCCTTGCTGGGGAAGTACATCACTAAGGTTCTTTGTGAATTATAACCATGCCCCACTTCTAGTTTGCTCTCTCTGCTTTGTTTTTTATCATTCAAGATGTGATGTCTTAGCTTCTTCCTGCCCCATGCTGCCTCTTGCTGTCCTGTTTCCCCACAGTAATGTATTCTTCCTCTTCTGAAGGCACAAGACAAAATAATCTTTCTTTCTTTCTTTCTTTCTTTCTTTCTTTCTTTCTTTCTTCCTTTCTTTCATTGCCTTAGTTCATGGTATTTTATCACAGCAACAGAGAAATAACATGAGAAGTTAAGAGAAGGATGGAAAAGGTCTTGGATTTTGATGAATCCTTAGAATCACTAATTACATCCGGTCTGGTACAAAAATATATCTAGAGGACCATAGGATGATAGTTTGTATACCTGCACTTTAAATAACATGAGCCACAATCAATTCAGGACTATATATACCATTCCCACCATGATCTAATACATTACTAGAATATTTGCAAAATCAGAGCTCTTAATGAGTTCCCAGACAACCTATGTCAAGGTGGAATAATTCTAAGAATTAGACTCTATGTACCATGTCTTTTAGTTTATTATCTAAAACACTTCTGTTTTCTTTTCCAGACCTTGAAATACATGCAGCTACTTATACTCCCCAATACAGACACTCTCTAAATTTCCCATTTCTACTAAATAATCTAAGTTCTCTTAAGGCTGAGTAGTATTTTGCTGGAGAGATGGCTCAGTGGTTCAGAGTGATGAATACCTTTGCAGGGGAATGTAGTTCAGTTCTCAGGACCCAGGTAGCATGACTCACAACCTCCTGTACCCCAGCTCCAAGGAATCCAATGCCCTCTTCTGGCCTCTCTGGCACTATTGCACATGGGTTCGGGTACATACACCCTCATACTCATAAATAAAAAATAAAAATAGGTTTTAAAGTTTAAATAAGAGATTATCTAAGAATTCCTCCAATTGTAGAGATTTGTAGAAACAAACCAATTCTCAGAAAGATTATTAGCAATTAGTTCCACTGATGTTGTAGTAAGGTTGAAATATATCACTATTGACAGAGACAAGAAAAGACCTCAGTAGGGAAGAATCAGAAGGCTGACTGTCTTTACCAGAGTCATAGCCAACAAAATGTCCATCAAGATAGCATAAGGGCACATGACAGTCAAGAGAACAATTGTCCATTGCATAAAATGCTTGCATTTCAAATGGAATTTTAGGAGAGAAATGTAAAAGGAAAAAGGCAGTTTTCAAATGTTCCTTACATTTGACTAACCTTCAATATGCTTTATGTCATGGTATTGTGTCAAAAACATCATTAGGGCTATTTCAAATACTAGTTCAGTTCCTAACCCAAAGTCACACTGTCCTACCACAGTTCCAGGCACATTCTGGACGTACAGCACACAAATCTGAAGGAATGATGCTTAATTAGCTTAAGTGCTGAACTAATTTTCTAGAAAGAACTCCCTGACCACTCTCTGTTTCCTGGCACAATTGTTGGACATAGACAGGAGTCAGCCAGCTCTCCTATTTTCATCTTCCAGTCGGTAGGACTCATTTGAGCACCTGAATGAAAGTCATTTTATATTCTGTAATGACTATAACTCACTTTCTATTACTTAATAAATGTGATGAATAAGAGAGGCCCTATGTAGCCAGATAGCATTTGCAAATGGGCCAGTGTGACTTGACAGATGGATCTGGAGCCGGAAGCAGGTACTGAGATGCAGGAGGCTGCAGGTATTGGCAGAAACTGACTCCCAAGCCATTCTTCTCTCCTTGGATGGTGATCAATGAGGATTTTTAGCTGATTGGAAAATCTGAAAGATGGTGCTGACATTTTTTCCCTGCTTTTGGCACTGTGTGTATTGTCTAAAGAATAGGATTCAGTGTGTTTCTTCACTCTTCCTATGTTTCTAGCAGTTTTGTCACATTAGAAAAACCACTTAGAGCACTGAAAATACAGTCATGAGACTGTAAAACCTCCTATAAGCCTTTCCTGGAAGCTGGGATATTTAGAGGAAACCACCATTTTTTTCTCATTTCATCTTATATTCTTTGTCAAACTTACAAGACATTTTCAGTGACTCAAGAAGAGGTGGCCCGGGTTCCTGGAACACTTTGCTCAGAACAGTCTAACAGGAAAACCTGGGGTGTAAGCAAGGGATCCAGGTTGCATTTTAAATACATACTTTAAAAAATTTTGGTCTGTTTGTTCTTTCTTTGTATCTTCTCTATATTCTTGGGAAGATAGGGATATACTAGCAGGAGGGCTGTTGCAGAATTCACTCTTGAATGCAGAGATTCTCTATTCTAATTGCTCATTAGAATCTTATAGAAAACTTATAAAAATAAAGATGTCTGGTTACATGACTATATGTGGGACTTGGATATTTAAAGAGAACACTAGTAGGAAGACATTTGACTTATTCAGAGTAAAAGGTTCAAGTATTCAGATATATAGATGTTTTGGGGGGTTATTCTAAATGACCCATTGATTGGGAATTTAAAGCTCAGAGAACCGTGATCTTCCTCAGGATCAAAAAATTTTGAGGAGAATTCAGGGCTCAGGGAATCTAGGTCATAATATTTCTCATATTGTTATTAACTGTGACTGAAATTACTCATAGGTTTCCAGAGAAGGCAACAGAATTTAAAAGATCTACACCTTCACACAACAAATCAAAGCCAGCTTAGTGCTAAAGCCCACCTTTACACTGACTTGCAAGATGATTACCAATGTGCAGCACTGTCGATCTGATTTAATTTGAAAGGTATTCCTAGGATAATTTGATAAAGTATCTATTAAGACAAGTAAGATTGGAGAATGGAGGGACTCTAAGTTCATATGATGCTGTCTAGATCCTGTCTTAATATGAGCCTTCATCCTATCTAGACCTGAGAAGTGAGAGAAGGAACCAGTGAGGCAAATCCTTGTGGGAGCACCAGCTATGGACTCATACACTCACTGCAATCAGACAGGCAACTAAACTGATCCAGTTGGGAGCTGAGAAGTAATGAAAAATCCTGACCACTCCATGTCTTTAAATTCAAAATCAAATTATTTTAATGTGAGCATTAACAGGTCGACAAGGTGAATTGTCCTATAGCTTCTGGATTGCAATTCCCTTTGGCTTTAATCTCAAAGGATGTGTCAAAAAATAAAATGTCACCCTGGGTTGAGGAGATGCACTGGGTGCTCTGATCAGACCTTCTGCCTTTTATCTGATGCTGTGCTTTGTGTTCTAAATCTAAATTCAAAGATTGGACATAGTGAATTGAGAGATAAACATTTACAGTAACAGTGAGAACGCCATGAAGCCTGCCTCATGCTTTACTAATATTGCAAGACATAGACTCCAGAGAGAGAGAGAGAGATTGAAAAATGATGCCATTGTTAATCTGAGTTGAAGGTATGTGTATGATCTATTTTAACAAGCTTCAGCTTTTTCCACTACAAAGATTAGAATAATAAACAAGTTATTTCAAATGTTGTTAAAGTAAATCAAATAGCAAAACATATGGTGAATGTTTAGCTCAGTGCCAAGTACAGGGAGGACTCCTTTGCAGGCGCTCCTGTTTTTTTATGCTGTCACATTGCTCCACATCCCAAAGGAAAGCATTTGCTGAGTTCTTGAGCATTCAAGAACCAGATACTTGCAAATTGTTTCTTCTGCCCTAGCAAGCAAAGTCCCTGGAGTGCAAATCCATGTGAATACCTCTTGTGGAAAGCGTCCAGTAGTAACTTCTGACTTACAATGCACCACAGGTTTAGAGCTAGCTGCCTAGAGTGAACTTGAGGTTAGTGAACTGGTAGAGGGTCATTCTGAGACATAAAAGCTCATTTTTGTCATGTATTCTTCAGAGAAAAGTAATTATAGGAAGAAAGTAAAGGGATTCAGAAGTTCAAAATCTTCATGCCTCTGTAAGTAGCATAAGTGAAAGTAGTTAAAAAAAAAAACAACAACAACAACAAAATCAAACCTGTCTCCTTTCTGTGTCTGTCTTACCTGGCTTGCCCTGGCTCCATCCCATCTATCATTGTCTAACTGACTTAAGAAAGGGCATGTATCTATGGAGTGATAGGGTGGATGCCTTTATCAAACTGTTGCCATCCCCATTAGGTATTTCTCTTATTGCTGTGACAGCATAATTGACAGCATGCAACTTGAGTGGGGGATGGTTTCTTTTTCTGCACAGTTTGAAGGTACAAATGGTACAGTCCACCTTGGCAGGGAGCACATGGTAATAGAAGGAAGTATCCAACATAGAATCAGGAGCATGAGGCTACATGCATGCATCTGAGCAGACCAGGGAACAGGGAAAGGAGCCCATCAGTGTGTGCTTGGGTTCCTTCTTTTTCATTTGTAAATCACTTGGAGAACCTACTCATGGGATGGTAACACTGCTGCTCACACACAGTTCAATCTTTCCTCCTTAGTAAACCCTCTATAGAGATGTACTCCAGGGCATGCTTATGGGTGTATCTCCTAGGTAATTCCAAATCCAGTCATCTTGACAATGAAGATTAACTCTCACAGAATTCCAAACTATCTTACATGAGTTCACTTTAGATGCTGCCAAAAAGACAAAATTTAATAAGCAACAGAATTTACCTTGGAAATAAAACTCTTCCATTCCCCTCATTCGGGCCCAGCTACAGGGAAAGAAAGCACATGCTTGCATCATCCTTCCTTGGCCACATTTGAATGTGAACTACAGTTACATAGCCTCTTCCTGCCCTGGGTGCGGTCTTTATTGATAACCACAAGGTGGCACTGCAGATTAAAGTGAAATCCGCAAACCTGCTTTCGTGGCCCAGGTGAGGCTCTTGTTCTCTTACCATACCCGGAGTTAAGATGCTGTCCCCATCTGTTCATTTTACAGATGGTGACTCTGAGGTTTGACACAAGGCACACACACTACCTAAGAAATATTTTGTGTAGACCATAAATCTGCTCCCTGCACTAATCAAGAAACAAAATGCATTTCCCTCTATAAGTGCCCAGGTTGTACAAATTCTCCTCCAATGTAACAAAATCTGTAAGGCACCTTGGTCATTTTTGATGAATAATTTTCCGTACTGAAATGTATGTTATAAATTAGAATTTACACACCAGGGAGACTGGGATTATGCCCACTTTGTTTGCCACATAGAAAGGTCTGGGCTTGTTTTTACAAAGTGTGATTTTATGATTCCTCATATGTGAAGATAATTTCCTTACAGGGAAAATTACTTCAACCTTGTCTCTAAATTACTCAACTAAAAAGTACTTATTGTGATCCTCATTTGTTCAGGCTCTAAGCAACTGCCTTCTAAGAGGGTCTTTCTTAGAGCTGAGAACATGACAAATGAGTCCCAAGGACTCTACTATTCTCATAGGTCTGCTCTTGTGTCACATGTTGACTTCTGGAGATTTTATTTTTTAGGAAGATTATGGATGTTTGGTGCACAGTTTCATTATTATCCTCTCCTGCACTGTTCCCACACAGAGACACTAATTCATCATTGCTCCTGACTCCTAGAGAAGCCAACTGATTTCTGGAATTCAGTGGTGGAATCTAGGATCCTGGTTGAGTTTCTTGGCATTTTTTTTCATGGTTTTAGAGAGGAATCATGTCTCTCCACTCAAGCTCCTTGAAAATGTTATTTTTCTTTGGGTCTCTGCTTCAGAGCCTCACCATTATGTCATTTTAGGCTACCTGATGCTTTCTTAAAGCTTATTAGAAAGTGAATTGCAGGGGAATTGGGATTGACATGTAAAACAAGCTTGTTTCTAATTTAAATAAACAAATAGGAAAAAAGAAAGTGAATTGTATTTTCTGATGATCCTCTCTAGTTCTTAAGTATAATATGTGCTTTCCAATGTCCAGTCATTGGTTGTCCAACAAGAAGCCAGTTCTCAGGAAATTTACATTTGTTCTTTGGATATAAGGCTGCAACTTAGGGATGAATAAAGGTCATCATGTTCTAGAAAGTTTCTCTTCCATCAGGGAAGAAAATGTCAGTGTTTCTTAGAGGGGAAACAATAAAGGACAAATTTATCCAGGTAAGGTTTTGATCTTGCTTCATACATATTTTATTGCTCAGATAAACCAAATGTCTCATTCAGCACTCTCGATTCTGTGGAGTAAAATCCAATTGTGGACAGATAATCAAAAACATTTGAAATTTTCATAGCAAAAAATGTGTGAAGAAAGAAGGCTCACCAGTGTTGATGAGGGAAACTAAGTTGAGATATGCTGATTTGTTCTTTAGGCTGTCTCAGAGGATTCATCCTTGCCCTAAGTATGTTCTAAGTTTTGTCTGCTAAGTTACAAAGGGGTGTGACTGACAGTTCTTTAAATCTTGAGTTATTTACCTCTAAAATATCCCCTACCAACTCCTCCTTACGTTCTGAGCCTTCCCTTCTGGCTGAGTTCTCTTTCGGTTCATTTCCTGAATCCTCCTGTATTCAGGATATTTAAGTCCTTCATTATCTACTCCAGTTTCCCAATGTTCTTTTCTAAAGACTCATGGCCAGAACTGTATGAGCCCCATATAAGTCCACCATACAAATTCATCTCTGTCCTGGCTGGTTTTTATGTCAAGTTGATATAAGCTGGAGTTATCTGAAAAAGGAAGGAATCTCAACTGAGAAAATACTCCATAAGATCTGGCTAAGGCATTTTCTTACTTGGTGATTGATGGGGAGGACCAAATCTATTGTGGGTGCTGCCATCCCTGGGTTGCTGGTCCTGGATTCTTTAAGAAAACAGGTAAACAATCCAGTAAGCAGCACCCCTCCATGGTTTCTGTATCAGCTCTGCCTCGAGGTTTCTGCCATGCTTGTGTTCCTTTTCTGACTTCCTTCTTACCATAGGCCATTAAGACAAATACCATATTTTTTATCCATAGAAACAGAGCTTTTGAGATTGAAAATAGTAGCTCCTGAGTCATGCAATAGAGTCCAGATATGTAGATGTTGAATATGGATTCAGGGCCCTTGACCTTAATGTTCCTCATGATTCTTACTAACTCAGAGATGTTTCTAAGATATCATGTTAATCTATAATATGACCATTTGTGAAGTTCTACTGTAATTCTATCTTACATAGCAATTATGAGTGTTCCTATATTTCAACCAGGATTGATTGCTTTCTTAAGCTTGGGTTTCAGAGAAATAGGACAATGATAAGTTAATGTATGGAAATGCACAAGACCAAATGTATGACAGTGTGTACATACATGTGTGTTTAATCAACACTAATCTCCTCTGTAATTCAACAAAAACCCAGTGGGGCAAAATTAGAATCAACACAGTTCTTCCCTCCTCTTCATTTCAGAAGAGTGAAAATTTCCATTCACAACAATGTTCCCAAAGTTTAAACAAAATTCACATCGTATCAATATAAACTATCTCATGAGTAAAAACTGAAATTATGTGGTTTGTCAAGATGTTAAATATGTAAATCACTGTTTTACTCTCTCAGTTAGCAATAATTTATGTTTACTGATGAGTTAAAATTGACCAAGAGCTATTGAATTTAATTTCATATTTAATTCTTCCAGTAATCATACAAGGTAGATATTATAATCTCCACTTAACAAATACAGAAATCAGGGTGTGCAGATGATCACAAATTACCCAACCATGGAGTGACAGGGCTAAGACATGCAAAAATCAAGTCTACATGACTAAAATATGATGTACAAGTTCTTAGAATTTTCCACAAGAGACCACAGCTACTTTTATGCCTTGAACATTGTAAAATACTCCTTATGCCAGCAACTATCAAGTTCCCAACAACCTTGGTTCTAAGGATCTCTTAATTTAAAAAAAAAAATCAATTGTTAGAAATGAGACCAAACATAAGAAATAAAAAGAAGACTTAGGCATTGCCATTTCATTGACATCTGGAAATTATAGATTACAGCTTATCTCTCTGTGAATCTGTCACTAAATCTTACATGCAACTTTCATGTCTTTGCTGAAGTCACAAGAACTTTTGTCCTGTTATCTTGGTAAGCAATAATGATTAGGAGCATTTGAAATATTGTCTCAGGCAGTTCCTAGATTTCCCAGGAGACTCTGTACTTAGATTGTATCTATACCTGGAGTTAGAATGGATTCTTTGGGTAGCCACATAAAAATCACTATGCATTTCATCCTATAGTTTAAGCAATATGGTATGATAAGAAGTGACTTTAACCACTTTCTAGTTAAAGCTGTTTCAATTGTGGGTAAAAATGCTCTGTCTAAGATTCTTCAGTAGGTCAGCTATGAAGATGACCCTTTGACTCATAACCAAAAAAAAAAAAATTCTTGTATTACTCAGTGGAGCTTCATTGAACTTCCACATAATAGCTAGGCCCTGAGTAATGATGCTTAGGAAATAAAGTAAGTCATAGATTAGCCCTTTAGATTGAGTAGGAAAACAAATCAGATAATTGAATTAAAGTACATGCAACCAAACCTATGATATAAAATAATGACAATAATTTATTGAAAGGAATATGAAACCTTGGAATGCTAAGAGGAGATGGTGTCCTTTTTCTAAAGATGTTAAAAGAAACAGAATTGCACACATTCAGTAATAAACCAAGGTTGTGATCGGCATGCAATAAGATTTGAGTGAGAGGCATAATTAAGAGGCTGTAGGCAATTGAAGGAGAAATGTCCACACTAGCTTAGGTGGAAGGAAACTGATGTCTCAACAGAGTTACTGAAGAAAGAAAAGAGAGGGATGCAAGACAGAAGAATATTTACATAGCTGGAGAAGATTGTGTCACATTGAGCAGCTATCAGGACAGTTTATGTGGAGAACCATGAGATTTCAGTATTAACTGGCAAATTTCAGAAGTCTCAGATTCTGAAGGCTCTTGGTAAGATATTTCAGGAAAATCTGACTATTACATTGAGGGAATGAAGGAAAAAACTAGAATGCTCTAAGCAAAGGAGATGAGTTGATTAGATTTTCATTTTATATTAAGACTTTGTTTAATAAGGGTGGCTCGATGAACTGTGAAAATAGACAAGTATCCCACAACAATGATTTAAAAGAGCCACTAATGTGCAAGTATGAACACTCACTAAGTGGTCATTGAGGCTCAAGTTTTAACTTCAGTAACATCTCCATGAGTATACATATGTTCACATCCACTTAATGTGTGAGCAGGTACACAGATATACATATCAAATATGTTACAATACATGATATATGTATATGCAAATGCATATGCACATACATACAATATATGTTAGATTAGAATGTCACTGTCAAACATCCTACAACAAAAATGAGAAGCAACCTAATTTCCCACCTCTCTCCCCTGATTCAATACTACCTTCATACATGGTACTTGCTTTCTAAGCAGCTATAGGTTCCTTCCCTCAGTATTCTCCACTCAACATTCAGGACCTTGCCCTAGCTGGAAAACAAGTCTCCACAACTAGTTGTATAGGGTGAGAGTCTTCCTAAATAATATTTCCTGCCCCAGAGCCTATTGTACTCTACCATATTTGGCTGTTTCAGTCACTATACATTTTCGTATTCTTAGCTCCAATGTTGTTTTTATTCTTTATTTTTGAATTCTTTTTATATGTCCTTAAACAAAAGTTAAGCAATGATGATTATCTGTCATGTTAGAGGCAATTATTAATATTTGTAGAAAGCATTAAAAAGCAAATTAGTAAAAAAATAAAGCATAAAATAAAA